AATATCCTAATGATTTTTGGCATAAAAGAAAAATCGATAATTTTGACCCAAACAATGGGCCACATTTATCAGAAACGAGCGCAGATCCGTTCACACAAATCAACTTACGACAGAATTCATGAAACATTCGTATGCCACCAATCTCATCGCACGTTGATAAATGTGGCGGCAGAAAACAATTGTCATTTGAATATCACGCCCCTAAAAACACCCTGGTTTAGAAGCCTGTCATGTTCTAATATCCGTAAAATCCTTCACATGTGCAAAAACGTTTGTTTGGGCGCTGCACGCTCTTCTTTTAAAATAAACAGTGTAACTTTTATGTTTGGTTGACTGCATTTAAAATAAACAGTGTTTTAGTTTAATGACGAATGGCTGAACTAATATCGTTTGCGTGTGCATGAGGCGCCTACGCGATCAGAAGGATTAAATAAAATAAAGAAATAAAATAAAATGCATTAAGAGTGTCACAAAAACAAGCGTAGCCTATACTTGTTACACAGTGTTTTTTTTCCTTTTGTTAATCTTTTCATTATATTATAGCCTATTATATATTTTGTGTGGTTCTATTTATTTTATTCCTTTTATAGAATATAACTATATAAGCTAGTTTTAGCTTTATAAATCTATTTTGGAGACAATAACAAAGGTTTATTGAATAAATAAGTAAAATACAAAATAACTTTTTTTTTTTTTTATTATCAGTGTTGGCACCTTATATTATGTTATAATATATTATATTATATTTAAAAAAAAACTACAAAATAAAGTATTTAATAAATGTACCTATATTGAAACTCTCAATGCAAGTTAAAAATATATTATAATAACAATACATCATTTAAAAAAATCTACTTTGGAGACAATAAACATTGTATTGTACAAATAAGTAAAATAACAAATACTAAAATAAAACTATTTTTTAAAGCAGTGCTGGTTCAACTTATATTATATGATATTATTAATTTATTGAGAATCATCTAGAATTACAAAATTACTTGTGGTTTTTAGAAGTAACTGTTAAAAATATATTATATCTATCTAAGTTTGGAATAATAACTTTTTTCTTTTCTTTTTTTTTAAAGAAAGTCTCTGCTGCTGAACAAGGCTGCATTTATTTGATCAAAAATACAGTAACAGTAAAATCGTGATTTTTTCTTTTCTTTTTTTTTAAAGAAAGTCTCTGCTGCTGAACAAGGCTGCATTTATTTGATCAAATATACAGTAACAGTAAAATAATATTTAGTGAAATATTTTCTATTTTAATAATTTAATTTGTACACATACTCATACAATAATAATAAAATATCATACAAATATAAAATTAAGCATATTTATAATTACATAATT